GGAATGCTTGTGTGGTGGGGGAGGAATAGAATGTTATCAACTTAGCTTTCCCTTTGAGTAGATAATGGCTTTAAGGTACTTTTGTGAGGGACATGCAACCACAGTGTGAAAACCAATGCCATAAAATTAATGCTGTTAAAATAACGTACAGTTCATAAAATCATAGAAATCCTCATTTCAATGGTAATTCACTAAATTATTGTTTATTTTAATTCACCTGAATTTTAAATCCTTCCCAATTACGTTTTTTTTTTAATTTATTTATCTTGGCTGCGTTGGATATTCATTGCTGCGCGCGGGCTTTTTAGTTGCAGCAAGAGGGGGCTACTCTTCGTTGCGGTGCACGGGCTTCTCATTGCAGTGGCTTCTCTTGTTCCAGAGCACGGGCTCTAGGTGTGCAGGCTTCAGTAGCTGTGGCGCACGGGCTCAGTAGTCGTGGCTCGCGGGCTCTAGAGCGCAGGCTCAGTAGTTGTAGCGCACGGGCTTAGTTGCTCTGTGGCATGTGGGATCTTCCCTGACCAGGGCTCAAACCCATGTGCCCTGCATTGGCAGGTGGATTCTTAAGCACTGCACCACCAGGGAAGCCCCCCAATTACTCTTTACTTTGAGTAACTACTGTCTCTTGGATACCACCATCTATGAAGCTATTAAGGGAATTTATTATAACAAGGGACTTGGCTCATTCATTTCCCTGTCTGCTTCTTCCACTTAAGTCAAGTTGAAAATATTTTGATTCTTCAGTTTCCTTTAGAAAAGTTAAAGGTTTTAAGCTAGTCAATCTCTTTATACCCACCATTGCTCCAAACACATAAAAGGATGTTCTAGTATTAAATCAGCTTTGAATTTCCTGTTCATTCACTTGATTTTTTTTTTTTTTTGCTTCAAGATAATGAATTTCTTTTTAGGATTCCAGCTTTGTTAAGAACATCATCTTTAGAGTTGACATATGGTGGCACTATTCTTAAAATGAAATAAAGATATAACTCACTGAAATTTCCCCAGGATAGGTTTTGTCATAAAAAAGAAAATGTTGGGACTTCCCTGGTGGCTCAGTGGTTAAGAATCTGCCTGCCAATGCAGGGGACACGGGTTCAAGCCCTGGGCCGGGAAGATCCCGCATGCGGCGGAGCAACTAAGCCCGTGTGCCACGACAACTGAGCCTGCGCTCTAGAGCCTGCAAGCCACAACTACTGAGCCCGTGAGCCACAACTACTGAAGCCAGCCCGTGCTCCGCAACAAGAGAAGCCACCGCAATGAGAAGCCTGCACACCTCAAAGAAGAGTAGCCCCTGCTCTCCGCAACTAGAGAAAGCCTGTGCGCAGCAACAAAGACCCAACTCAGCCAAAAATAAATAAATACGTTAAAAAAAAAAGACAGAAAATGTTGACCTCAGTAAAGGTTATTGGTAAGGAGAGAGGTTGAAGCCCCTCAGGAATTGATGTGGTAGCTCCCTACTGTGTGACTGTATTAAGTAATTAAGCAACTACTATTTATTGAGCACATGCTGTATGCAAAGCAGTCTGAGATGGATGACATAAGAAACTTTTAATCCAGTAGGAAGGACAAAATGAATAATAATACCTTACATACAGGTAGCCCTTGAGTTGATGAAACAGAGTTACTGTGAAAAAATCATTTGGTAAGAAATGCACAAAGTGGTATATGCATAAGGGTATGTGTTTATTAATTCATTCCATAATTCATTCATTCACCAAATAGTTATGAAGCCAATGGCCGTGCGCCACACACTGTGAAGCAGGGGAGGAGATGAGCACAGGCCCCGCCTTCATAAGAGTCATCGAGTTCGAGCACTGGTGAGACCAGCAGTATCAGCACCACCAGGGAACTGTCAGCATATTCTCAAGCCCCACCATTAAAGATGAGGCCCAGGGTTTCCCTGGTGGCGCAGTGGTTGAGAGTCCGCCTGCCGATGCGGGGGACACGGGTTCGTGCCCCGGTCCAGGAAGATCCCACATGCCGCGGAGTGGCTGGGCCCGTGAGCCATGGCCGCTGAGCCTGTGAGTCCGGAGCCTGTGCTCCGCAACGGGAGAGGCCACAGAAGTGAGAGGCCCGCGTACCGCAAAAAAAAGATGAGGCCCAGCAATGTGTGTGGTAAGCCCTTCAGGTGATTTTGCTGCACGGTAAATTTGGAGAACTATTAGTTTAAAAGCAGGAAAATTCCACCGTGGTTGCAGTTTCATGGAAGAAGAATTTGAAGAGAACCTTTAAACTGGGAAGTTAATGAGATGAGGAAGGGCAGGACTT